TTTTGCCCCCCCCCCAACCGATATATTGATTGCGTCCTTGGGCATGTGTCTGCGGAGTACCTCGTTACACTATCAGGAGAAGCATGTGGAGCACAGCGGCATTGGTGAGGGCGCATCCTGCTGGTAGTCTATCGCAAGGCCGGCAGCATCGCCCCATTCGTCATGCTGAGGGTTCCCGGATTTTCCTACATGTGAGTATTTAGAGCAGCTTGGCGAGGCATTGTTCTTGTGAAGAGGCGGCTGTGATGATGAAGATGCCAGAATGCCGCTGACAGATGGTATGGAGCGAGGTGACGTCAACGCTTGTCCCTCAGGGCATGCCGAACCGGCGAGCTAACGTGCAAATGTCAAGATATGTCGTGACTGCCCGTGGTACGGATGCATTATGCCGCGAGCTAGTTTTGAGCCATCAAGGTGCGAGCAGTGACCTCTGGAGGTCGGATGTGGCGTTGAAGCACGCGGTGCTGCGTGGTGGGTTGTGGAGAGACTCTTCAGCTGTCTTTACCTGAACGGGGAGCCGTCTTCCCTTGCCGGGTACTGGTTCCTTGCTATCAATGTTCTCGCGGAGTGAGAGACCTTGCGGCTTGTTTGTCAACCGCAGCCGGTGAAACAAATGTTTAGATCGTCCGCTGAATATCTGGGCATTCATACAACGTGGTCTCGAAGTCGTCTGGTGGCTTTGTCTTGAGACGGTGGTTCTTCAATCCCACTATTATGTGGCGAGATATTCACCATCAAACCGCCATCCTAATCGTCAAGTTTCAAGACACTGTCGCGAAAGAGGGTGGCACGGGTGGCACAGCTGACATGGGGGACACGGAGTGTCTTATCTTGGCGCCTTGCTCGAGGAGGAGGTTGCGCGTGACAGCCGAAAGCTTGGATCTTGGATGGGGCTCGGCTTAAGTGGTTGAGAGGTTACGTACCTTATTGGCACCTGTTCCGACGTTCGACTCTCCCACTCTATTTCTCTTTTGCTTTAAACACTAGTTGATCCTCTTCTTTTATGACGCATGCTGGGATATAGTTACTTGATTGTTACAAAGCCGAGTCGCTGAGTAGGCTCATAGGCAATCTAGCGGCCATAGCAACCATGGGCGGCCAACAATCAAAGGCGTCTGCGTTTCGAGCGCATGACAAGGCCATGGTCGATCGTCTGCGCAAGATGAATCTCCAAGAGAACAGGAACTCTGACGAGGTGAATGAGAAGAGCGGCAAGTTGACCCGTGATGCAGAGCCTCTGCCGTTGGATGCGGTGTCTTTGTTGCCTTCGACGATTTTGGACGACCCCCGAAACAGGTTCGTACATGTCAGGAAGCAATCTACATCTCATTTATAGGCGTTTCGTTTTACTAAACTGCCGTCTGTTCGGGCAGGCTTGCTCTCTCGGCTCTGAGCTCGGCAAACCCGCGGACGGTTCTGACCTCGCAGGCTTCCAAGATTGCTAATCAGCACGTTTTCAATACCAAGATTCCCTTTGAGGGCGGGCCTATTACGAACCAGCGCTCGAGTGGTCGATGCTGGCTGTTTGCTTCTACTAATGTGTTCCGCGTGGCTATCATGAAGAGGTACAACCTCGAGTCGTTTGAGTTGTCCCAGAACTACCTTTACTACTATGATAAGCTCGAGAAGTCCAACTGGTTCCTCGAGCAAATCATTGACACCTCCGGAGAGGACTTGGAGGGTCGTGTCGTCCAGAGGCTTCTGAGTGATCTCATTTCCGACGGTGGCCAGTGGGACATGGTGTACAACTTGGTTGAGAAGTACGGTCTTGTTCCTCAAACATTGTACCCGGACAGTTGGAACGCCCAAAACTCCAGCATTCTCAACACCGTCCTCAAGACCAAACTCCGCGAATATGCCCTGAACTTGCGCAACGCCATTGCTGCCGGCCAGGCACCGGGCGTCATTTCTGCCATGAAAGTCATCTACATGCAGGACGTCCAGAAAATCATCACCCTCCTCCTTGGGCCTACGCCCAATCCCACGCAGGGTTCACATGGACATACGCCGACAAGGACAACAAGGTCCACTCCCTAACCATCACTCCCAAGGACTTTGCCAAGAACATCAGCAGCTCAAACTTCCAGATCAGCTCTACCACCATCTCGGACATGGTCTCGCTCGTCAACGACCCTCGCAACGACCTCATGACCCTCCTCACCGTCGACAGGCTGGGCAACGTCGTCGGTGGCCGCGACGTCACCTACATCAACGTCGACATGAAGACCCTCAAGGAAGCCTGCGTGAAGATGATCAAGGCCGGGATACCGGTCTTCTTTGGCTGCGACGTGGGTAAATTTAGCGACAAGACCTCCGGGATCATGGACCTTCATGTCTTTGACTACGAAGTTGGCATTGGCACGGATCTACTGGGCATGACCAAGGAGCAGAGATTGCGGGCGGGTGAGAGTCTGATGACGCATGCCATGGTTTTGACGGCCGTGCATTTGGACGACAAGACGGCGCAACCTGTGCGGTGGAGAGTGCAGAATAGTTGGGGTACGGAGAATGCAGGTGATAAAGGGTGGTTCGTCATGACGGATGAGTGGATGGACGAGTTTGTCTATCAGGCCGTCGTTGATCCTAAGTTTTTGAGCAAGGAAGCCAGAGACGTAGCTGGGCAGGAGCCGACGGTCTTGCCATTGTGGGATCCTATGGGTTCTTTGGCTTGATCCAGCGATCATGCTGGGGGGTTATGAACGGGACGGGCAGATTGTAGGCTTTGCCTTATTTACGATGTATGATTTGGTTTGGTTGCAATGCGTGTACTCATGGTGTATTGCGCGGTTAGTTACTGTTCCCTGGCCTAGGTACAGCCAAAATACAGTGTTACTAGATGCCCTTCATCTAGCCCATTTTTGGATTTTTTTTTCAATCAATTTAATTTAATTAGTGATTTGGTCTGGTATATTTTTCAAGTTGCGAAGTAGGCTCGATGAATGAATTAGCTGGGGAACGCAAGCGAGAACTGCTGCACGTGAAGCACAAGAAACTGTTGCTTCTAAATGGTCTCCTTGCCTCCGTGGTCAACCGCGTATGATAAATTTGTGAAAAGGTACTTAACCCGTCATTCTCCTAGTAAGATGTCTCCATTCATACGTTCTGCTTGCCTCTTATGAGTACCCCCAATCAGCCTTTATCTAGATTATGTTAAGCTTTGCAGTTGCTTCGCTATAAGTATGAGCGGAGGAAGCAGACATACAATACAAGGCATCCAGTAGACTTTTTGGACAAAGAAACAAAAAGAGGGAAAGAGGGACATGTAACCGGGGCATTTAATATGTGACGAGACCGTTCTAAGTGGACAGCTGCAGCGAGATGTTGCGGCTGACTGGCGGCACACCGCTTCATTCAACGCATCGGACTTTGCTAGGCGGGTTCACATGGGCAAATCATTGTTTATATCCTCCGAGCGGGGAAAACTCATTCTCGAGGGCCATTTGCGTGGCAGTGGGATGGAGTCGGGCCCTGTTGTGATACTCAGAGCAATTCGGATACACGAACCCAAGTGAGCCGAATGTAGCAATCTGAGACACATGAAAGGTACTACAGACCTGAATTTAGCTGGTAGTCCTGCAAAAAGTCTTCTTGAACGTATTGAGAGGAGGATTTACATTGTTACCTTGCTGTCTGTGCGGTTTAGTAGCTGCTATTTCACATGGGGCTACGCTCATGCAGGATACAATGCGGCTGCAGCGGCTACAGCGCGCTTTAAGATTGTCATTTTTGATGTTGTGTCTCCCTCTATTCTGTAAAGATTTCCTGAGGGGCGCGAATGCCCCAAGGGTTCGTTAATGTGTTCCCGGAAATCGAACACTGAGCATTCGTCAAGACTATGCTCGTAGATCGCTGAACACTGACGCCGCAATGGATCCTGGCCAACACACCCATTCACGATATATATATGTATATATGCATGTGTATGTGTATGTGCACTCAAATTTTTGCACTAATCAATGCGGATTACTTCTTGCGCGATATGAGGATGCCTTGTGAGATCAGAAACATTTGGCTTCCCAGTGCATTTGTCACGGTTGTTTTATCGGGCGGCGAGACTCCGCTAGCAGGCAATTGCTATTGCACCGCCCTGTTCGATTTTATGAAAATATTCTTCAAGAGCGTCTCATCAAGTGAGCCATGGTACTACGCGCCTCGGTTGCAGTATCGCTTTGCTCGCTTCAACTTGGCATTTCGGTGCCGAGGGTTGTTGACGCCAGCATTTCGGGCAATCAAGTCATATTTCTCTCTTGTTCATTCAAACTTGTAATTGATGCTGTATCCCATTAGCCTGATTAATTAGTCACTTTAGGCATCCTCCCTAGGATCATGGGTTGAGGCGTCTGGGTTGCAATGGATGCCCTATGCCCAAGGCCCACCATTCTTACAATACGCCAATATAAGCTGCAAGCTCAGAACGAATGGGTCAGCGTCCATGGTTTTGAGGTTGTGCAATGAAGATATCAGGACCATGTATCTGTGCCTGTTGCCACGCCCACTCAGCCCGACAATAGCTCAAGTAGTTCGAGGTAGATGTTCACCTAAGACCTCGGAATCTAGCGTATGCAGGTACGTGTGAACTACGGCTAGTCTCGATCTTGTACTTTTTGATGCCCGATCTAGAAACGAACGCCTCTTTCGATTGACATGTGGTTCGCGTGGATGACGATCTTGCCCCATTTTGGAAAACTAGACTTGCACATCGAGACACAAATCAGCCCATGCCTCCTGGCTTTGACTACCAGGATTGCTGATTACTTACTCTCTTCCAAGGCAGGCATGCCAGTAAAACAGGTCGTAGGTTGTGTCGGGCGAGGCGAAGGCGTGACTGCCCAACCCATCGCTTACCTATGAATGCATCTTCGCATGGAAGTTTGAGCGGAGTCCTAGAGGCAGTGGGTGATGGGATGCCATGACTCATGAGCGTCGGTTTGAAGTAGGAGATTTCCAGACGCGTCGACGGTCCCTGCAGAGTTGTGTAATAATGGTGTAATTAAGGCCTGCAAATAGTCGCCGCTGGATGACTGAGACTACTATTCAGATGTTGACGGATGGACAAGGACCTGATTCAATGCCCCGGACATTGGCTGGTTGGGCCGCAACATGCCTTTGTTTTTTTTTTTTGGCTGTACATGTCATGGACCACGAGTGGGAGACGCGGACGTGGAGAAGTTTGAAGGGATCAAGCTTGTTGCGTCGCTCCTGCCCATGATAAAGGTCGACGGTCCACGTCCGCCGCATTGAACCAATCTGGTTTTTTTCTTTCTTCTTCTTGTCGCATGGATGCGGAGAATCTCCTTGATAGCATTCTCTCCAGATACCTTCTGCCGCTGGCTTGCTTTCCAGTCATTTCTTACCTTTTCGGGCGGCAATCTGTTCTCGCATGGTTCTGAGAATTAGCTAAGCCTCAATTCACGGCGAGCCACGGCAGTCCACTAGCTGCATTCCGGCAGGACCGGCAACACAACGCTGCAACAGAAACTGGAGCTCCACTGCCTTGCAGTCGACACGGGGTCAACGGCATTGGGTCTTGCGAACTGGTGCTAATTCAGTCTCTGTACTGATTGCACATTGAAGACAGGAGGGGCATTATTGATCGTTTCTCCAAGCTAGTGAATGACTGATACCTGGGTGGCGAATAACTTCGGCCTAAGCAAGGGCGTAATCTTCAATTCTGGTTCTGGTACGAGTGGCAACGACGTCACAGCATAATGCTGATGGCAATGACTAACTTCTGTTTGATGCTCCAGAACAGGGCACCAGCTCATCGACGGGCGAGTCGCAGAGGAAGCCACCCACCCCTCCAGTCCCCCCAGCAGGGTTCCTGGGTTGTTGCGCCGACAGTCTGGTCAGACGGTTGACCGGGGTCGTCTTGTTGTTGCTTTTTGGCTGCGGTCAAAATTGCAGCTTTGATTAAGCGCACTAACTAGAATTTGGGACGTTGCGGCAGAAGGCGAGACATTGCTGCGTGGCACTACCCGTCAGCGACTAAGTGGACGAGAAGTGGCTAGCCCACTTAGTTGCCAACGGGTAATAACGTACCTAGGCACCTAGGCCGCTAGTTATTGTGAAATTGTCAACTTGCCTCTGCGAGCGGTATGTAAGACGCAGCCCATCAACTTCCTTCCAGCTGCCAAAGTTCTGACCCTGACCAGTTGACCTTACAGCCCGAACCTCATCCCCCCACTGGCACTTCAGTTGAGGGAGCGGACAGCGTTGAACGGCTCCAGAACAGCGATCAACAATCCAGCAGGGCGCCACTGAGCACGGCCCGACGGGATCTGAGGGCTTGAAAGCCCAAGTGACAGTCTCAAGTGGGAAACTAGCGAGTCGTCGCAAAGTTCCAGTCCTTTGAGGAATCTCAGCTCATTCGGGCGGAGCCCAATTGGTCACTGGGGCGAGTGACGTCGATCGGTTGCCATTGTTCAAGTCCTCTGCCCGTTCCCACCAACACCAAACGCCGACTAGAGTGGCGGTGACCCTGGCGGACAAATCGTCATTCCGCAGTCTTCGACAGACAGCACTCGTTTTGCCTTGACACATCCATAAGCACAGAGACCCGCATTATTGGGCGTTGGGAAACATTCTCTTTTAATCTTCGCCTTTGCCCCTGGCCTCCATATCAGGCGAAGCAAAAAGATACCCGCCATCCAGTCGACTATTTTTAAATTGCAACAAGCATATGCTAGAAAAACTGTCCCAACAAGTTGCCAAACCTACAATTTACCAGACTCGATCTTTCAGAGCAGTTCATTGGCAATTGATCCGTCAGGAAATCTTCAGACACATATTTTCAGTAGCCTCGGCTCATACGCCAAGGCCCACCGGCGAACCCTTCTTACGTTCATCGGCATTTTTCCGAGGTTGTCCGCTGATCTGTCAGCACTCGGTCTTTTTCTTGAAGATTGACAAGCTGTCGTAGGGCGGGGGAGATTGAGGCGCTCGGGGCAATTTGACAACCCCTCACCGCCGCCCTTATCTTCACCAACGCTCTCGAATTTTGGTCAAGGCTGGTGTCTTGGGGAATTTGCAGACTGGAAATTACCCTCCAGGAAAGCAAGTGCAGTGTTGAGAGGCACCGTCACCTATTGATTGTCACCTCTCCCGAGGCTCTTACGAGGCTCGTCAAATATGTCGGATCGATACATGGGTTATGTTCCCACGCCATCGGGTCGGTCTCCTACCTTCAACCCTGCCAGAGCTTCTATGCCGACTAGTGTAGGATACAGCTCTATGTACGCCGGAGACATGCATGTCGTACCGTCTGCCAGCCAAAGACATTATATTACCCCGAGAGGCTACTCAACTTCCACGACCGCCTCGGGCGTTCCCACAACCACAACAACATATGCTATCACCCAGGGCCCAAGAGGCAATCTTAGGACTAGAGACGGCAGCAGGACGCGTCGGTCAACGCTGGAATCGACTTCAAGGCCCCCAGTGATTATAACTACAACACAGTTGGATCGCCCTCATGGTTCTTCGTCTCATTCTGGCAACGCACGATCTGGAAGTCCTATTCGAGACGAATATCGTGCCTCTGACGGGCAGGTTTACTCACAGCCCGCCTCGTCTTTGCGTTCTCGCAACACAGCTTCTCGTTCATATCATGCATCTTCCCCGAATGAGGATTTTGGCAGATATAGAGATAGGGCTGACAGTCACTTAAGCTCGCGTGACCTCGAAGCTTATCGTAATTCTCGACCTTCTGTTGTTTATCCGAGTGACCCAAGACATAGTACCGCGGCCATTGATTACGGGGACGACGGTTATCAGTACACCAACGCCGGCGAGCTCGTCAAATACGACCTGGACCAATCTAAGCCAAGTCGCTCTAGACGGCATGATCGACATGACAGTTTTGATACGGGATACTACCGTCCAAATGTCAATTACGATTTAGATCGGAGGAATCTTAATATCAACACCAGCCATGATCTCAATCGCGGCCCCAATGGTCCCAGTAGCAGGCAACACGACGGACGACCTGGACCACCGCCGTCAACTCGTGGTTTTGATAAGATCAATCGGGCGTACGATTCTAGAGATGTGCTTCCAGCTGCCCCAGTCCCCCCCTTACCCACCAGTGCAGCATCGCTACTCGAAATACAGGGAAGTTCTGGCAGCGGCCGGAGACCGCGACCCCTGTCGCTCCACCAAGATGCTGGACTCCGGTCGTCGCATCATGACGAGTTATATCGAAGTCGAGAAGATGAGCGTGTCATGCGTGCCATGCGTGACCGAGATTTTGATCGCCGCCCTGAGCCTCCTCGATTCTATGATGACAGCGTCGCATCCCGAGGTTTTGGAATTCGCACAGAGGTTCTAAGCCCTCCAGAGGAAATCAAGGAGCGCCGCCGTGAAACACGACTAGACGACCCAAGAAGGAGGTCTGACGAAGAAGTGTCATATGGCTCAGATAAAGACAGAGAAGGTCGCCGTTGGAGTCGCCAGGATCCCATGGAGGAACGAAGAGATCGGAGACAGACTAAAAGAGATGAAGACAACCAGGATCAGGAGCAGTCACGGACTCGTGAGACGCTCGTTGGTGGACTCGGTGCCGCGGCAACTGCTGCTAGCCTTGTAGCTTCAACCAAACCAGGAGAGAAGAAAGATCAAGGGTCTCCTGGTGCAAAGAGACGCCGCAGTCCTCCAGAGGATCGCGAAATTCACAAAGAAGTTATCGTAGAGCAAGATGCTCGCCAATCCTTTGAAAGAGTCAGTAAGCCAATGGGAGGGAAAGAGGGGACTCGAGAACGGGAACAATTACGGGGAAAAGAGCCTCTCCAGGAACGAGATCCAACGAGAGAGAGGCCGCCAGCGTCTGAAAGGGATGTTTTCGTGCCAAAGGAATCAGTTCGGGAGCCTGAGCCAATTCGTGAGAGAGAGACAGTGAGGGAATCTCTAAGGGATAATTTACGAGATAAGGAGTCTGTGAGGGAAGAACCTAGAGATGGTGGCAGCTTTGAGCGACGGCGACCTGGCGCAGATTCCCGAACAATCAGAGAACCCGCAAAAGTCTCGGGATCGGATTCCGATGATACGAAAAGACCCCCTCGGCGAGGTCGTGTTTCCCAGGCATTCAACCCTAATGACACCTCTGACTTGAAGCAGCTTAAGGAGCAACTAGCCTCGATGGAGATGTCTATGTCTGATAAACGGCAAGAGAAAGAAGTTGAACGACCGGCTTTGGCAGAGAAACCACGAGCCCGCTCTCCCTCTCCATCAAAAGAGCAAGTCGCTGCAGGCTCACCCCGGGAATCCTCTCAAGAAAAGTCTGGCGAAGAATCTCGCGGTCGAGAACTCGTTGTTCCTGCAGCTGAAGGGAAGCAAGTGCGTCTTGTGTCACCTCCGAAGGACAAATCCGAAGGCAAGCCCTTGAAAGGCATCCTGAAGCAGCCGAAAGCTAGCTTCCCAGAAGAAGCTAACCCAGTTCGTGAGGGTGTAGCCCCCCACAAAGAGGACAAGAAACTTAAGGAGGCCCCTCCTGGGGCGAGGTGGACCAAGATCAATCGCAAGATTGTCAATCCCGAGGCACTGACCATTGGAAAGGAAAGATTTGAAGTTCGCGATGACTTTGTGATCGTGCTGAGAGTTTTAAGCAAAGAGGAGATTCAGGCTTATGCCGCAGCAACACAAGTATTGAGAGGTAAGCAGCAACCTTTGCAGCTGTGGTGTCAAGCTTGGTGCTAACTGAAAACTGCAGAGCGACGCCGTAACAAGATTGAGGGACAAAAGGAAGAGGACAATGATTACGGAAGGGAGCGTGATATTATGCGTGACGAAGCTGACGAGGAAGACGAAGAGCGCCATCATCGCCACCGCCGACGCCGTGAAAGTGAAGAAGAGAGTGATGAGAAGGAACGCCACAAGAATCGTGAAAGAGACCGTCAGCGAGAGCGGGATCGAGAATCTGAACGTGAAGGTGAAAGGCAACGACACCATCGGAGAGATCAGGCGGACGACTACGACAATAGGGCACGAGACGACCCTCATCATCATCACCATCACAACAATCACCGGTCGTTCAGAGAGCGAGAGCGAGAGCTGGAGGCGAAAAGTTAGGAAAATGGAGTTTATGGGTGATTTATGATTCCCATGTATTTTATTATGAACTGACTATTGGGTTTTTTACGCAAGCATCTTTGCCACAAAAAAATAGTAAACGGGGGGAAAAAAAGATGTATAATATGGGGCATTCGCCATGTATCAGTAATGCAATAGATTCACTTTCGCCCAGCTGGCCGAGGGTGTTGCACTCACTATGTTATTCCACCCACTATGCAACTATGCTAGCTCTATCGAATTATTACGTCGTGAATAGTCAAGTCCGGGTGCTATCTCTTTAACCGCCTGACGCGGTAATCGGACGCGGCGAATGGAGTTCCCGAGGTTCCTCGTCTGCCAAGGTTGTGTCAGTGGCGACTCTAGAAGCAGCTTGTTGTATACTTGAGGCGCCTATATGACTTGGCTCAATTTTGCCCTGTAGCTTGAGAGGGAGGGATCGAGGACGGGATCGTTCTGCATTGTTAGTATGGCTCCCACTAGGCTACCCTCAGCACCAGGTGTGAGGTGCTAGAGTCGTCAGGGTTAGGTGGACAGGTACAAGTGAGGTTTTCGTCAGTCCGAAATACAGAATTGGCTCGGCCTTTTCAAGGCCGAGACTTGCCTTAACCATTCATTCATTCCGCTTCGTCCTACTTGTCGAGTTATTCAGTTGTTAGTAAGTAAGCTTCGGTTCGAAGACGTCACGGCCGTTTCGAGCCAGGTCACGAACAAGCAGCTTAATATAGGGCCGCACGCCCTTTTATCAAGGGCCTTGCAGAGCACTGCTTGTAGTATATTCATGACAACTCACCCAGTGATCCCTTGTATATGTGTTTGTATACTCAAGAGCTTGTATTGTATTCATGCTCTGGGCTTATTCCAGAACCACCCTCTTCACGGATAGAGATGAAATTAGCATCGCCTTTTCGCCACGGCACTTCTACTTCTTCAAATGGGCGTGTCCAGTGCCTGGTTGGTTCGTTTCAAACCGTTCCAGCTACCCAATTTGGCGTCCTGCCAGAGAATATGTTTCTCAACTGTAACTAATAGACTGTCTGACAGGCATGGAGCCATGGCAGACTCCCGAAGGCCGTGGTTAGGCTGAATGGCTCAAAGAGTACAACAGCAAAGCTATCTTGGGAGCTGGTGGCAGACAAATTTGGTGGAGGCGCTCCGAGGGCGAAGCCGTGTGGCTAAGCCGATGAGGGAACTATCGAACAGGTCGTAAGCTTTGGCGAATAAGTATAAGATGTATCAATTATGAGTGGCTTGATGGCTTGAAGGGCTCCAGTCCTCATATATATGGCATATGCAGCCGGACCCCTTTTATCTACTATGAGATTATGCTTGACGCCAAATGTGTGTGGGTGGCACGGTCATGGCCTCGAATAGAACACTCAATCATTGTTGTGATGGCGCAGCAGGGGTAGAATGCCCGCCGGCAGTCTACAGTCTCGGGGCTGCGAATTTCCGAAATATTTTGCCAATTCTAGATCGTCAGAGTTGGCTGCCTCCCTCCGATGTGTGCGGTTGCTTTGGGCCGGCGACAGTCTTGCCGGTGGAAGAAGCAGGCTGGCCCAGGTAGTCTGAGGGGGCAAGTTCGTGATGGAGAACACATATTCCCATTGTCCACATCTTTTGATCATGCTTCCCATGGTGGTTCCGGCGTCCTCCGTCAATGACTGCCATGTGAAAACGGCGGTTGACTGTGATCCTCCCACACCAACTCTGGGCTCCCTGTCTCCAAGATCGGACACCATTGCCTCCATTTCTGGACCAAATGAAGATGCACGGTCAAGGCCTTGGGGTTGTTTTGTCCCGTGTAGCCATCTGTGTAATGAGAGCCTCAGTTGTTGTTGGTAGCCCCATTTCGCGATGGGATCCGTCATCAATGCATCCATGTTGAACACCAACTGACACATATCTGGAGTCGTATCTTGTCTTCAGTTAGTTGAGTAAACTGATGGGACATTACTGTACCGTCTCGCAGCCCAGATGACTACGAGGTGCAGTGGTTGGCGGAGTGGAAAGCTCAGGACTATCCAACTCATCTCCGGGGTTCGATGCTGCAATTCCTCGATATACAGATAGCGCACGTGTGTACCATAGCTACCATTTTGAAACATGAGTTGGAACAAAAGCGTACTCAAGGACAGCTTCGTATAAGAAGCCGTAAAGTCGGGACCGCAATGTCTCGAGATGGATAGTTTAGTGAGCATCGCCCGTTGGCGACCAGGAGTATTGCATGTCGTGGATTAGTGCTCGTGCTACCAACCTTGTTCCTTATAGGATCGCCGGGTCATGGAGTTCCAAGCATAGACAGGATTATTTGGAGCTGTGTAAGGCGTCCATATGTAGTTACAGATTGCTGCGTTGTCGCAGGGGCAAGTTGGTGCCTAATTTCCGCCATCAGAACGACAGTCTATTTGGCCTCCTTGTTTTTATATACTTCGGCCTTATTTTAAAGCCTTAGGACAGAATTTAAGTCAATTCTCTCTCGTAGGATCAATGTCTTGGGAATTGCTCTCCTCTCGTGTTACTTGACACTGCGCAGCCGACAGCAACGACATTTTATTCCCCTCTGCAGACAAAGAAGATAGCGCCGAAACGAGACTTTGCTTTCTACTCCCCGGCCCTGAAGAATGAATGAGAGCTCACCTTCAGGAGACAGTGAGCTGTGGGAGAGTGTGTCCTGGTGCCAATACTGTTAATTTGAAATGCCGCAAACCATAGTATGTACAACCATAGCCACCAGCAAATGGGCCATGTTCTTCAACAATGCCGCACCTGACCATCCGGTGGAGCTACATGTTCCAACACGGCGTCAACCCTCTCGAGTTGGTCAAACGTAGCTTCACGACAGACGTACGACCACCACGGCTCGAAATCCACGCGCCAGTCCAACTGATTAATTACCCACCGCCGATCCATCACAGCTTTATAGAAACATCGTACACATCCAAGAGGACGGCAAACCCCGTCACAACACCCATGTACCCCAACAGCACAGCCATCGTGACCGACGGACCGACATCCAACGTCCTGACCGTCATATTCACCAACCCCGTGAGCAGATTCGCCACCAAAAACACTGCCAGGCCGTTCCTGTTAAACGCCTTGAGCACCCTGCTTGTGGCAAAGTCATTTGCCTCCCTTTCTGTCCTGCCATCGGTGGCATTATATGTTGCCGGGAAGAAAACGGTGTCGATGAGGCAGCACGCAAAGATCTGGATCGTGTTGAAGGACGCCACCCACAACACGTACGGGAGGTTCGCGAGCCGGCGGGAGACGCCGAGGCCCAGGCCGAACGAGTAGCTGGTGGTGCAGAGATAGTACAGCGCGGACCAGATGGCAGCCCAGACGGCAATGGTCATGAGCAGCGTGTTGCGCTGGGTTCCGGGCGTGGCGTTGCTGCGCGGGTTGATGGCGCGCGGGATGATAAACATGCCCAGGTCTTGGCCGGCCAGGAATATGGCCAGGTAGCCGAAGAAGCTGAACATGCCTTCGCGGTTCATGGAGAGCAGGTCCGTCCGCGGCGCGGTGAGGATGTACGCCTTCAGCGCCGTGTTTTCGAGGAGCACCTCGTACACGCCGCCGACGAGGAGAGCGAGCGCCGCGTACGAGGGCACATAGCGCAGGACGGCCTGGAAGGCGGCCACAAAGGGCGGCAGGAAGCCCAGCGTGAAGAAGAAGTTCCAGTGGACGCCGTACTCGGTGACGTGCTCCGCGTAGTCGAGGCCCTTGACGCTGAGGAGGCGAATGACGCCCAGCACCAGCAGCGGGGCCGAGTGCCTGGCCGAGTAGACGAGGCGCTTGACCAGCGACATGCTCTTCCCCGACGCTCGTTCCTTCAAGACGGGCCTCGCGGCGACCACGCCGGCCGTGAAGACAAACGATCCCACGCCCATGTCCATCAGGCTCGTCCCCCACGTCTCTACCTTTGCGAAACGCCGCGGAAACAGACGAAAGTCAACAGCCAGTATGCTCACGCACGTCATCACCATCATTGCGCCGCGGTACGACGTGAGGAACGGCTTGACAGGCAGCACGTCCAGCGGCCGCGCCGCTTTCATGACATCCTTCGGAACGACCGGCTTCTTCTTGCGGGCCGTCTGCGCAGGGAGCATGTACACGGATGCCACGGGAGCGAGTAGGAAGAGAATCAGGAGGGCGGGCGTGCTGGCGTAGAGCGTCGTCGCGAGGAGGAATGCGCCCACGCAGAGGAAAAAGTCGACGGCATACGACAGCGGCGTGTACGGCCTGAAGAAGGATTGGCGAGCTTGGAGGGCGGACCACAGCAGAATAGCAACCTGATTTTTTTTCGATTTTGTTTAGCTAATAAACCTGGGACACGCTCGGAAAGCAGCACGGAGGAAACGAACTGGTACAACGGCCGTGACGGCAGCTATCTCGGACACAGAACCGCCCGAGAGGTTGGACACAAAGTCCTCCTTGTGTTGTTTGTAGCTCTGCCTGGACATTACGCCGGTGCGTTAAAGATACATCATTTCAGAGAAAGGAGACAAGGTGGTGGTGGCCGTGGCGCGCAACGGCAATTGAGGACAGAACTGTTTCTTTCTTTGCGGATTGCTGCCTGGCCCCCCCTTCAGCCTCGTCGGAGTTGATGGAGTAACTCGGTAGTAACTACCTAGGTAGTTAACTTGTCGTCTTGCACCGGGCGTAAGCTGGCCAATGACTAGCTGTGGTTGGGGGGTTTCTGTGGCGCGGGAGGGGCCGTGTGGCTGGGCAGGATTGCATCACCCTGCTGAACGGCACGCATTAGGGTTGATGCTTGACGGCGCTCCTGGGTTGTTATATCGAGGGCCAAAATTGGTATTTGGGGTCTAATTACTACTATATGGAGATTATCTTCCTGCCTTTAGAGAAGCAAGTAGTGGAGCCGTGGATCCAATTCGGGGTTCTTATTCTGGCTAAAGGTATGTACATAAACTTGCAAGGCGCAGGGTCTCCAACCCGTATATATCCCTTTGGTTGTGTTAAGGCTCCAGTCGGGTATC